TAAAGTCTTTACTTTGCACTCACCGGGATCCTATATGGGAACTGGTTCGTGTCCTTGTGGCCCCAGTTCCCACCTAGCTCCCTGTTTGTGGCCTGGGAAAAGCAGTTAAGAACAGCCCAAAGCCTTGGGCCCCTGCAGCAGCCTGGGAGACCAGGAAGAAGCTCCTGGCTTCTGGCTTCAGATTGGCTCAGCTCCGACCGTTGTGGCCACTTGGGGAGTGAATCATCAGACAGAAGATCTTCCTCTCGATGTCTCTCTTCCTCTCTGTACATCTGACTTTCCAATAAAAATAAATAAATCTTTTTAAAAAATCACTTTGGTACTTAAACCAAATTTAATTTCGTAAGTACTGTTAAAGATTGTGATTGCCTCCTCCAAAATAGTATTTCACAAGCATCAGTGGACCAATACAGAGCATATGCTGATGTTTTGTATTTTATTCTCATCCTTTCTCCAATGGGAGGAGGGGGAGAATGTCAACACTTGTGGAGGGCTCTCCTTCTAGGTGCCAGGTATTTGCTGTATCTCCTTACTGAATTCTTGGCAGTCGTGCCAGATAGACAGTTGTATTATGATGAGCACATCTAAGTCCAGACAGGTGAAGTCATTTGCCTAAGGTGCTAGAAGGGATTCAGACTGTACTGGCTCCAAAGCTCATGCCTCTTTCACCACCCCGGCTCTGTCCTTTCTAAAAGTCAATCTCCGCCAGTCTGCACATTTCCTCTCTGAAGCCTGTCAGTGTTTGTAAATACGTGGGTAGTTCAGCTGTTTACCACCAGCAAAGACAGGAAGAGGAGCCGACTGATGGCTGGAGACAACCTGCCTGTGAACTGCAAGCGGCTCTCTGCCGACGACTGATCCCTTGCCGCTTAATTGCCATGCTGTCCCACTTTATTAGTTTCCAGACTCTGTGCCAAGTGCTCCTCAAGGCAGGTAGGGGAGAATGGGCCTGTGCTTGCTGGCAGCCTGCCAACACCACCCCCCCACCCCCCAAGAGTGTCTTGCTTGGTGTTTCAGAAAGGGATCGACTTGGAAGGCCTGTTTCTCAACAGTGACATTTCCATATCAGAACCTTGCTGACTGCAGCAGAAATGAGGGCCTTGGAGGGCAGGGGCAGGGCCCTTGCAGGGGGAGGGGAGGGAAGAGCTTATTTTATTACCCAGGAATAAAAACATTGTGAGTAATGAATAAAGTCCGAAAGCAGTAAATCTGGGCCTGCAGATTTAGGTGTGTAACATGTCGGGGAACAATTTAAGCCTTTGCCTCTTCTGTAGAAGTGAGGTATTTGAGCTGCCTTTCACAGCCTGAATTTCATTAAATGGCCTTTCAAGGGTTAGGATTACAAGAAGCTGAGTCCGGCTGCTTCATAACGATGATTTATGACTGTGTTGTCGACTCCACGACCCTCCTGTACAAGGGGATAGAGAAAATACATAATTTGTTGCTCATTAACTCCAAAATCTGTCAGGGCTGCCCCAGAAGCCATGTGGTCCTGGAGTCATGTGTCTGCTAAATGGCTTCAGCCTGGCCCTGTCCTTGAAAATATGGGATCGCCCTTCTGCCATGGGAAATGATTTTAACAACAAGAGAATAATAAAGTTATGATGATGCCATTGCTGTGGGTCTTGGAACTTGAGAAATAGAATACCTGGTCTCTACGTCTAATTTTGGCACCTACTCACTTCCTTCAGCTAAGTCATTCTCTCTAAATGTCTTGATGTTTCCATCAGCAGAATGGGTGGATTTTGCTCAGCGTTGTGCATTAAATGAACTAAAGTACAAAAAGATTAAATCTAAGAGCTGGCTGCTTTTATAGATATCTCTTTAAAAACATTTATTTGTATTAGAAAGACAGATTTTACAGGGATAAGGAAAGACAGAGAGAAAGATTTTCCTTCTGCTGCTGGTTCACTCCCCAAATGGCCACAACAGCCAGAGCTGCACCGATCTGAAGCCAGGAGCCAGGAGCAAGGGGCTGCCTCCCCAATCTCACACAGGTTCAGGATCTCAGGGCTTTTGGAGCCATCTCCTCTGCTTTCCCAGAGCACAAGAAGGGAGCTGAATCAGAACCGGAGCAGCCAGGGCACAAAGGGACGTGCCAGCACTTCAAAGTGGAGGAGTTGCCTGTTGGGCCAAAGTGTTGGTCCTATAAATATCTTTGTTAGGAATTTGAGCTACCGTAAAATGTTCCTCTGTCTTTTAAATCTACCTGTAAGAAGCAGCAGCACTGTAATGGACAGTTTATTATCAATTTAGGTTGATAAACTATTGGAGTTGAAAAGAGTCCCTGAATTGTCAACCAAACCTCTTTCAGATGAGACAAGCAGAAAGGTGACTCCCATGATGTATATCTAAGGCCACTGCTGATAGACTGGCGATAGAAAACCGCATCTTGCTGGGTATCAAGCAGGAAGTAATGCTGATTGGTGCCCAGGCTGAGTCCACTTAGAGTTTTCTTCATTGTTGTCTGTGGCATGATCCTGGGAGCTCAGGAGTGACCCAAGGGCAGGGGATGTGTTCTTGACCTTGGTTCAGCTCCTTACCTGTGGTAATGGCCACAGGTAGCTTCCCCTGGGGTGCTATCAGCTGGTTGCAAAGACCTGAGAAAGGCAGCCTAGAAGAGTTGAGGCTGAGTTGGAAGCAACAAATCATGGAGTCTAGTACCACAATTTGCAAATAAAGAAAGCAGCATATCCCAAATTTACTCAGTGAGTAAGGACAGGAGTCCTGGCCACTTGACTCTTTTCACTCAGTATTCTACTCCCCCTATATAAAGTTATGTGTGTGACTTATAAAAAATAAGAAAAAGTAGAGAAAACATGATTGTGGCTATAAACATCTGGAACTTGTTAGCCTGTAAGGTTACATAGGGTAAAAGTATAAACAGGTTCAAAAGGGGAATTAGATCATGAATGGTAGGAAAGAATGCAGGGCGGATAGTCCGTCCACCTGGGTCTAATCTTCAGATGTGAGTTAATTTGGGCCTTGGTTTTTCTGTGTATAATGGCTCCTTTCATTTCTGACTTGCTGTGCTTCTCAGATTTTAATCTCTGCGACGTGTTATCAAAGGGCTTTTGGTAATATTTAGGGGATACTTCTAATTTTGCAATGAGGCAACTCTTAAGGGCTACTATCCTCCCTCTTATTATTAGTTCCTTTACCCCACAGTCTCTGAGCACCTATGCTGGGCCACAGACTAATTCTCCTCATTCGGCAAATGGCAAAGCTAGGCTACCAAATCTCTCTCATAAAAAATCACGCTTGGTGTAATTTGGGAGAATAAAGTATAGCACTTACAAACATAGAGCATTTAGCAACACAGAATCACTGTGTCAGTGTTGGCAGTGGCAGGAGCCGTTCTTGTTCCTGCACCTGCTCATTCCTGCCCATCCAACAGGGCTGTCCTTCCGCTGGCTTTGGAGCCTGTGAGTGGATTGCTCAGGCCCTGCCCAGCTGTCCTCCCCCACTGTGGAAGAGTCACGAGAGCCTTTGCAGAGGAGTGTCCAGATATGCCAGTCTATTGCTTCCCTTGTGGTCGTAAACACGCTGTCTGCTTTTTGAAAGGGCAAGTGTGGCTCATCATTGCGTCCTAAGAGGAAGTGCGAAAGGGACATTTGTGGTGAATGATGAGTTGACCATTGCTGTCCCCAGGCTGTGGTTGAAGCCAGGAAGTGCTGTGGAGCCGAGACAAGGGCAGTCAGCAGCATGGTTGGTTGTGCATCACCAAAGTGGAATTGATCCTGGGCTGCATTAGACCTCATTAACATTCATTCCCCTTGAGGAGCAACTCTGGGTTCTTTTCTTCCTGTGAACACCAGCACTTTCCAGTGAGGAGGGACTTCCTGTCTTAGGATGAGTTGTGGATTGCACGAAATAAAATATCAAAGGGAACTAAAATAATGGAAACATGGGATGAAAAGCTAAGTTTAATTTTGGTGGAAAATCAGCTTTGAAATCCATAGATTGGTTTTTCACGATACTCATTTTCCATGAACATCCTCAAGATTCCTATATGCATGGATTTCAGAATATTTTTACACCATAATAAAATTTTTAATTTCATTCTCCAGAAACTTCTTGATGAAGCCTTGTATAAAAACATTAGTTGGTATGTACTAAGTATCAACACAGTAACTGGTATCAACTGGCAACTGGTATGTTAGTAGTGACAGCTCTCCTCCCAGCATCACGTGGGACACCCAGTGGGAGAAAGGAAGAACATGAACACCATGACCCCCTGATGTCCTGTAGCACCTGTACAGCCAGGCATGCTGGAAACAATTCACAGGCACGGAAGGGCATGGCACAAAACATTTCTTTGATTTTAAACCAGTGTACTTGTCATCACTCCACAATCCCAAAACGTAAAAGGAGAGCATTATCTGTAATGACTCATTGGGTCATTTCCCATCACTGTTATCACATATTCTATGAAGGTATGAAGGCTGCCTCCTGCAGTGAGGAAGGAAGCTGAATTTGCAGAGGTTGAATTCCTGGGTAGCAGAACCTGGATTCAAACCTAGAACTTGGCCTTGATGTGGTCACGTCTTCCACACCTACCACAACTCGGCGTTAGCACCAGGCTCAGGCCTCCATGGGGTCAGCTGATTGGTGATCCTTCATCCCAGATCCTTGAGTTCCTGGTCACTGCCAACTGTGTCTTTGATTCTTTGCCTAATTGCTTTGTATATAAGTCATAATACCTCTTCTTTAAAAAGGGTTTAAGATTATATGTGCGTACATGTGTGTATATTTACATATGACTGTATTTGGTCATGTATTTTCTTGTTGTAAAGGCCTTGTGTGGCTTTTTAAAAACTAAATAACCACCTTACATCTTGTATCTCTCCTTTCTTGCATATTTGTGTTTATATACTTTGTAAATTGAAGATTTAAATTTTTTAGACTATAAACTACAGCTGGTATTCTTTATTCTTTACAATATTAGTTTTAATGATGAGTACTGAGCCTGTCTAATTTTTCTATTGGTTTCCTTTTAGATCATCACAGGGGAATTCTACCGGATCTATTACCTAAAGGAGAAGTCTCGGTCAACCATTCAGAATCCCTACGTGGCAGCCCTCTATAAGCAAGTGGGCTGCTTCCTCTTTGGCTGTGCCATCAGCCAGTCCTTCACAGACATTGCCAAAGTGTCCATAGGGCGCCTGCGTCCTCACTTCCTAAGTGTCTGCAACCCTGACTTCAGCCAGATCAATTGCTCTGAGGGCTATATTCAGAACTACAGGTGCAGAGGCGATGACAGCAAAGTCCAGGAAGCCAGGTGAGACATGACTCCTTCACGGCCACAGATGGCATCTCTTTGATGCTATGCACTTCAGTAAGCATTAACTGAGCCTTGGCCCATTCGGTGCCAAGGTAAGCACCGGGCTATGGTTTAGATGGATAAATCACACATAGCCCCTGTACTCGAACAACTCAGAAGCAAATGATTGAGATAGATTTATAAACAAACTGTTATCATATAGCTTGGGTGAGTCTGTTGTTCACTAATTCTTTTGTTTATCCATGCATTCCTGGATGCCTACTGTATTCCAGGCATGTGTCCAAAGCACATCAAGTTTGCAAAAGTGAACGAGACACAGTACTTACTCTCAAGGCAGGGAAGATCAGAGATGTGACTATGACTCTCTCTTACTCTTGCAGGAAATCCTTCTTCTCTGGCCACGCCTCTTTCTCCATGTACACTATGCTGTATTTGGTGGTGAGTACCTTCCCCCTGCTCCAAGCAGAGTTCAGTCCCAGCTTGAATCCCTTCTGATGTCATAGCCCTTGGAATAGCTAGGCGTACACCTTATCCTGGAATCCTTGAAAAAGAGGCTAAAACTAGAAAAAACCAGATTTCATTGTGGGCTCCACCACAACCTTGACATTAGTGGCTTCCTTTCCAGGCTGTTTCCATCTTCCAAGTAGTGATAGCATTTGCCACGGGTGCTTGATAAGGAGCATGCATCCTTGCTAAAGTGGGAAAGTGATGACTATACTTGGGATAAAACATGTTTTCTGAAACATTTGCAAACTCGTTTGATTCTTAAAACAATCTAAACTATATTTTCTCTATTGTGGAAAAAGATGATTAATTAAGGCTCAGAGCATTCACATGAACTGCCAAATTTTGCATAAATGCCAGATCTGTTGATTCACATTCAAGGCTTCTGATCAAATGCCAGGCAATGTTCACTTGCCAGGCCTCCCCCCACTCTATCCATGGAAACTCATTGTTATCTGACTACAAGGGGTGGCTCTGGGAAATACTTCCACAGCCTTGAAAATACACAGTTAAAATACTCAGCTGACATCCCATTTCTCAGGTGCAGCAACCGAGGCCCAGAGATGTTAAACACTGTGAGGTCCATCAGCTGGGGCTAAACACGTGACTTGAGTTGGCATGTTGCCCTTCCCTCTGCCGTGTCTGCTCTGATTTCCTGGAGCCGTTTGAACAGTGCCGGTGAGGGCCCAGCCCCCCTCCAGCTGCAGGACAGCCAGCTGCTGGGCTGTTTTCCTTTGTCAGTTCAGTGCGGGCTTCCCTGCCTTTCCTCTCTGCTTGAATGAGGCCCCAGTGCCAAGGCACTTCCTGCTTTCAGCTGCCTTCATGGAGTTCAGAGAGAGAAGGTGCTGAGAGGTCAGACGTAGCTCAGAGGAGTGTAAGCGATTTGGCAAAAAGAACGTTTTGATTTCAACTTATTTGAAAAATAGAATTAGGAATTGGAAAAAGCAACAAGAGAGGTTGTGTTGTTATGTTATGTGATTTGCTCCCAAGCCTTTCCAAAGCTGGAGGCACTGGGCTTCCTGTTACCTACGCTGAGAGGTGGGCCCCATCTATAAAAACATTGGCCCTGGCGCTTATTTATTCAGGGATAGCACTGACCTCCATTCTTCTTTTTATTTTGTTTTTGTTTTGCTCTTCGAGAGAATAATTTAGCACAGAGGCTAGGCTCTGTGCAGTGTGTATATTTTACCCAGGGCTGGAAGCAATTTTACAAATGTAATTTCAGTGTTTTGTCGAGGAACTTGGGGGAGTAGGGTATGTGTTCATTTTGTATGTGTTCTCTTCATTTTATTCCAAAAGAAAAGCACTAGAGAATTACCGTGCACCGTGTCCTTCCCAGCTGCCCTGAAGGTCAAACGCTGACTTGTGTGGGTGCCTTCTGTGTTTCTAGCTTGTGTTGCAACATTTCTTCTCTGGGTGACAGGAAGTGTGTTTAGATTAAATATGTTTTCAGATACAAACAAATATACAAGCCTAATTCTAAAAACTGAAAGGAAGTTCTGCAGTCAGTAAGAGACCAGAGATACATGTGAAAGCTTGACCTTATGACCCCAGTGTCATGGTAGAGTCTCCTCATTGTGTTCCTCTATCATGGTGATAACAGTAATAATAATAGGAGTAGTGATAAAACTGTGTTCCTCCCAGATAAACTTAGCATACCTCTTCCTGACCCTGACTTGAGTTTTCCCGGAAGATCCGCCTGAAGACATGCTTTACACGTCCCTCCCTCTCACCCTGCTCCGTTACCTGCTCAGCAGCTCCGACTCCAGCAAGAGGGCTCTGAGGAGTGATACATGAGGATGCTGCTGAGTTGAAGATCCATGGGTATCTCTAGGAAGGAAAAATTGCTGTGCCTTCCTACCGCTGGAAGGAGGGAGGGTAGATAGATGCCAAGGAGAGAGACTCCTACACCCATTGCAATACTACACCCTGCCCTGCTGTGTGCCCTCTTGGGAACCCTTGCTAACAGACACACATTCAGCATTCTCAGTGAATAGATGCCCATAGAGCCACATATGAGTGTGCTGCGTGGAAAATGCCCACTTTGAAAAAAAATGTGGGTTTCATACATTTTGGGCACCAATTAAGCTTCTGTTAACTCAAACTTGTCCATGAACTTTTGAAGTCCCCTCTTTTATATGTACAGCTCCACCTTCATGCTTATCTAGCTTTTACCTCTAAAATTAGGGGAAAAGAATGAGGACACAGTCCTTTGCCAAGGCTTGCTTTTAGGTGCTGTTGCATAGAAGTCGCGGTCCTTATACTGTCCAACTTGCAAAACTTTCCAGAGAAAGTTTGCTGCGCACCCCCTGTTGCCTGCCAGCGGAAGTGGGACATCCTGCTGTCAGTCAAACAGACCCTTGGCTCTTCCCACTATGGCTGTTGTGTTGAGTTTCAGGAAGTGCTGGGTTTGAACTGGATCCTGGCCTCCTCCAGTGGCTCCTCTCCCACCACTGCAACCCCAGCCGGCTTTTGTTGATGTGGCCTGGTGCTCACACCTTTCCTGGAGGGGTTGGGAGAACCCATTTGTGTCAGCTGAGTGTGTGAGTGTAGCATTGTCAACTTTTGCCTTGAGAAGCAAGAACGTGAACTCCAACTTGCTGTCCCCATGGCTCGCGATGAAGGGTTGAGTGCCTGCTGAAGCTTTAAAGGCTCAGGTATGGTTCTGGACAGTGGAGGCAGTCAGGCAGGGCTGCTTGGCAGAACTGTGGCTGCTTTCCTTTCTGCACCCCAAAACAAAGAATGGAGTTAGATTTGTCTGTTTTTCAGCATTTCCACAGTTCTATTTGAAGAGGTTTGCGCTGCCTAGAACTGGGAGACCATCAGGGACAAACTCATGCCTACATTGCCATAGTGTTCAAAGAGAGCACATGCCAAGGACACCAGCATTTCAGCCACCATCTGCTCCTGCCATGGTTTTGAAGGGTACTTCAGATTAGGTTTTAATTTTCAAGATGGCTAGCTTGGAAAAAACATGGCCCGGACACCCAATCATCTGGGCAAGGAAGCTTGAGAATGAGGTTAAGCCTCGGTAGAGATGAATGGAAACCTAACAAGAAAAACCTCGCAGCATATATAAGCATAAACTGTTTACTACTTTTGGGCTTTGGCCAACATCCCAGAGGGACCACATCTGAATGGGTCCTGCAAGTCATGGACAGGAATTGAAGATGATGTGGCTGTCTGGATAAAATAACAATGCAGACAGGCATCAATTCACACAGCACATCTGATAGTCTCTGCTACCTCTTGTAGCTACTAAGATGATTCAGCCCTGGGTTCTACCCTTAAAGAAACTCACCTATGCATTTTGCATCCAGTAAATATTTAATGAGTGACTATTATACCCCCAACATCATGCTAGGAGTGGGAAGGTGGAGATTAGAAAGGCATGGTCACAGCCTTTGGGGAAAGAACAATGATAACCTTGTACTTGATGCCTAAAGGTTGAGGAGCAGTACGGGCTATTGTGAATGCTCAGACTCACACTCAAACCAGCCTGGAGCAGAGGGTGGCAGAAGCCAAGGAAGACTTCCAGCATTGATAAGCATATAGAGATGGGGGAAACAGAAAGAGTGACCGGTATGCAGGTGTAAAGGAAGGTGATGATTTGGGGAAACTGCAGACATTTAGTTCAGTTGAGTTTGGCAGCTCGGAAGAAGCAGGTGGTATCCAACACACTCAAGAGCTGGTGAAGCCTTTGGATCCGCCTCGTGGGTTGGATCAGACAGCAGCAAGGTCATGTCAAGCCTTTACCCCAGCAACTGTGTTCTTGCCCTGGGAAGCTGCACCTTGCTCCCTTTGCCTTCTGTAGGTCCCTTTTTCAGAGAGGCTTTCTCCAAGCACCCTATTTAAAATGACAGCCCCTGTGGCGATTCTGCTACTCCCTGTCCCACTGGGCAGCCTGACTTTCCCTCCAGGTTCTAACCATTTGGCATATTAAATACTCATTTGTTTGTTTAGTCTGTGACAAGGAGCTGTAAGCTGGGGGGAAGGATTTTTGTTTCTTGAGTTGCTGCTTACTGTATCCCACTTCCCAAAACAGTGCCTGGTGATTGGTGGATGGATGGGTGGATGCCCGAGTGAGTTCCAGGTCTTCTGACACTCAAGCCTGCACTCCTTGCTGTTCATGTTGAGACTTTCTGTTGTCTCCTCCTCATGAAGGGACCACCTGATGTGGGGAAGACCTCTGCTTCCTCTTTGTTGAACTCTTTACCTATTGGCTCTTTCCTGTGCGGTTTTATGAAAGTCATTTGTGTGTTGGTCTCTGGTACCAAGGAAGCAGCAATGTGGTTGTCCTTTGATAGTCATGTTCTCTGTGTTGAGGTTTTTAGTCATTGAGGTTTTGTTCAACATTTGGAATCCTGGAACATGGGATCTGATGTGCCTACAAGGCATCCCTATGGATCTTGGCAATATTTGTTGAGATCCCTTGCAGGAATAGGATGGCTATGTGCAAGAGAAATCATCTATGGTAGCAGATACTGTTCCTGCTTCTCCCTGTCCCACCACCAGTCTATCCAAGTACCTGCTCTGTGCCAGAATCTGTGTAAGCTCTTGTAACACCACAAAAGCTCATGATTTTGGGTGAATAGCAAAGCCAATAGCTGGAAAACAGCTGTGCAAGACCGCCCCTCTGCAAGCCCCAAGGCAGGATAATGCAAGGGGTGGAGCAGAGGAAAGGACTATAGCCTCGGTGGGAAGTATGCTAGCTCAGTGCCCTACTGTTGGCCTCACATCAGCCTGGTCAGGCTTCTCTGTTACCGGCTGCAGGCCTGTGTTTCAGGTTGAACATTTTGGTGGTTGACTGAGCAATTTGAAGTTTTAGTATCCCCTGGATGTTGTCCTTTAGTCTATCATAAATATGTACTCATCTCAAAGTGCTTCTTTCCTTCAAAGATGTGGCACAATACAAAAACAGATCAACACTTGGC